TCTCTCTCTCTCTCTCTCTCTCTCTCTCTCTCTCTCTGTAACTTTAGGAATTTACTTCTCAAAGTTCTTTGAGAGGTGTTGAATAGTTTATGCATTTATACATTACAGTAATGATGCTAACATCTGGACTTAGGTTCACTAAGATTTTTCTGTTGCTTGTTTGTTTATCAACTGAGCAGGTTAAATTGTACGAGAGCAGTCCGTCAAGGAGCCGGAGTAGAAGTCGTAGCAGAAGCAGAAGTGTGAGAAGGAATCGGAGGTACTGGACCCCCGTCCTCCCCCACCCTTTTATTTTGTGATAATTTTGTCCTTTTTATGTGTTCATGTACATCTTGAGAGTTTTTCCGTATTATGCAGTAAGTCTCGGGAGCGATCCGTCTCAAGATCAGTATCAAGATCTAGGTCTGCATCACCTGTCAAATCCTCCAGGTATTTGGCTTTGTTACTCACTTTCTTTTAGCTAATTCTAGTGAACTAAATTCTTATTGTTATTTTTTAATATATGAAGTTTAATACATGTATATAATCTGCAGGCCAAGATCAAGGTCAGGGTCAGAATCTCCCCGTCCGGTAAGTGGAATCTGTTCTGACAAGTGGCACTATTTATAAACATTAAAGTGTAATTTGAAAAATGAACGCAGATTTTCCAGGTTATTTTTTGGCAGGGTTGGATTTAAGGAATTACCTACACCCTTGTAGACACTTAGAACTGGTCGAGTGGTATTTCTCTATACTTTGTTAGAAGTCCCAAGGTCGAAGCCCTCGTCCAAAAACAAGAAAAGAAAAAGAAAAGCTTAGTTCTGTTGAAAAATACATAGGAAAGAAATCGTGTATGCTTAGTTGACTTGAATTGAATGTCTTTAAAAAGCCACCTAGAACACGCAGAGCTCTAGAAATATATTTGATAGGTTTTTCGATTCTAAAGCTACTGCATTGTTGAAACACGATAAAATTATTTGATGTTATTGATTAAACTTGATCTATTTTCAGGTGCGGTCGGGTAGCGGCTGATCCTCAGGCAAGTCATCCACACGGCATCCTTGGTGTTAGATGCAAAGATTTTTCGTAATTAAGAAACCTTAATTGGCTTATTATGGCCAGTATGTGTGGTTTTGATAATGCGTAGTGATTATACTTTGGAATGGTTATTACGTTTGTTGTTCTTGAGAGTACTAGGGGTTTTATCGTTTGGTTTTTTCTTATTTGGTCGTTTTGATTCTATGTGCCTGAAACAAGACGTAACCTATTGGTATGAAGGTTGTGACGCCAACTTTATTTTGAGCTATACCATTTTGGAATGAAGGTTGTGGCACTAAATTTATTTTAAGCAATACATTTGCTTTTGGCTGTGGGACCGTCATGCAGGGAGGAACTATCTTTTTTTGAAGGCTGTTCAAATGTCAATATGAAAAATTGACAGTTCCGTCAATCTTTCACTAAATTTGTACAGGCACGGTTGCGATTATATCTTTTGGCCTCAGAACAACACCCATAGATAGAATAACAAGAACATTAAGATTTACGTTTGCGGAAGTCATGCATTTTATTTATTATTTATTTATGAGATGGATTTCGAATTTGGAAGTATGGGACTTCCACAAACGAAATGGAGAAAAATGTCTGGTTGCTTTGCTAGTTGGGGAAAGCTGTGCATTCTAAAGTAACGGAGTAAAATCAACTAAGTTATTATTCTAGTAGAACTTCTCTTTTCAATGTTAGAAAATGTTCTGAATATGAATATATGTATATGTATGTATTAAGCTAAGTTGTTCAATGTTGTTTGACACATCATATTTAAAAGGCATTGTTAAACGAATCTTAAAATTAACTAAGTATGGTGTACTTATTAAAATTACATTTGTTTTATAATTCAATATGTCCTTTTTGATCATTTTATATTAGAATAAATTAGTAATTCAATAAATATTTTGGTAATAGGGTCTACTCAGTTAATTTTAAGGTTTGTTTAACAACACTCTATCTAAATCTCGAAACTTTAATTTATATTAATTGAATAATTTAAACTTAGATTATTTTAACATTACTAGACTAAAAATTACTTTGTGTACTTCACCAGTTACTTGTGTTGAGACATAATTGGAATTTAATTGCCAAATTTCATTTCACAAGTGAAAATTGGGCCTATTAGATTTACACTACAACTGGGCTTTTTCCCTTTTGGTAGCACAAAACACTACGAACTGGGGCTAAAGTTTGTATATAAAATCCCTCCATTTACAAAACCCTAAGTTCTATTCGTCCTTTGCTTCCGCGCTGCGCCACCCAGAGAGTAGAGTCTCACAGGTCCCCCCCTCTCTCTCTCTCTCTTCCTTTCCCACTGAAATTATATCTTGTACGAGGTCACTGATTTTGATTTTCACTGTTGCAGTTTGATTGCTTTACAATGTCGACCGCTGAGCTTGCTTGTTCCTACGCCGCCATGATTCTTCATGACGACGGCATCGCAATCACAGTAAGTACGCCTTATTATTTCTCTCTATTCGCCTAATCTCTTATGCTTTACTTCATAATACACGCCTCCTTTATGCTAATCACCCCAATACCACCTATTAATCTATACAAAATCTTTATCATAATCCGGATTTCCGTTTTATGTTTAAGGCTGCATAACATTTATGCTAGTCACAGCAAGACTTTCATTTTAGTTTTTGTGAATCCGTTTATGTTGTGGAATTCTGTTCCAACATGGTTTGCATATAATCTCTGTAAGACCTTTGTTTTCAACTTCTTTTTATTTCGTTAGATTGGTGAAAGCAAGAGGAGAGAGCGTTGAACAAAAAACTAACATCTAAAGCGCGAAACAAAGCTGGAATATCATTGATTAAGTCTTAGGTTTCTTTGGGTTTATTAGTATTTTTGGTTCTGCTTTTACTTATCTTTTCCTGAATTTTAACCCTCATTTGGTTTGTCTATTTTATATTGAATTGAATAGTCAGAGAAGATTGCCGCCTTGGTGAGATCAGCTAATGTGGCAGTGGAATCATACTGGCCAAGCCTCTTTGCCAAGCTTGCTGAGAAGAGGAGCCTTGAGGACCTTATTTTGAATGCTGGCTCCGGTGGCTGTTCTGCTCCTGTAACTGTGGCTGCTGCTTCTGGTGGTGCTGCCAGTGCTGCTGCTCCTGCAGTTGAGGAGAAGAAGGTGAGAATGTCATACCTGCATAGATTTCAGTCTTGATGATTTTGTATACCTACTATACCTTGCTTAAAACTGCTCCTTTTGTTTAAGTGCTCTGCATCAGTGTATTTATTATTCTAGACTTTTTATGTATGACATAAAATATACAAGAGTTTTGATGATTATGAACCTTGGCTTTCCTTGGTAGCCTTTACATTTTGTATGTTATGATTCTTCGCGACATTGCTTGAACTTTCATTGCCTGGAAAGGTTTATAATTGTAGTGATTTGATTTATATGATTGACATCACTATTGTTGGTGGGTTGGCTAACCTCATTTTTCATTCTTGGTTTGTGTATTTGCAGGAAGAACCCAAAGAAGAGAGTGATGACGACATGGGATTCAGCTTGTTTGATTAGGAGAGTTCATATATGAGTTGTGCTGTTTTTTTAAAATTTTATTTTAGACAATTTAGGATGAATTGAAGTTGAAATTTTTGTTTCAAGTTGAGAAATTTTTTCCCAGTGTTGTACGTTGAAATGGCTCTACTCATCATCCCATATATGTTCTAAAAGCTTTTAACTTGGCAACTGAGTTGGAAGAAGATATTGACGGTTTTGTTTTAATGTTGGTTTTCTTCAGTTGAAATTATTCAGCGTTTTTATGTGCGCATCTAAATGCGGTATGCAACTCTAGTTTTAGACCCCGATCAATTGTGTTTTTGACATTCTAATCATGTGCCTGAAATTGTTAATGGTCTATTGCCGATTCTTCTTATCATGTGTGATTAGCTTTCATGGTACGTGCTAGTCTTGTCCAGAAGTCACTAGAAATTGGACATGTCCTCGCCGGAGTTGGAAAGTTCCTTCACCTACGCTTGGTGTGGAGAAAAATGTCGTTAGTTCGTGTGCTACTGACCTTTGAAATCCATTTGGTTTCTGGTTCCCTCCAAATTATAATTGATCCCTTGGGCTGCAGACAAACTTTTTTGCAATTGGGATAACACTGTTTTGCTATTTCCGGTCAATAATATTATAATATGTGAAAAAGTTATTTCACGTGTCATTGTGTTATTAGTAGGGGATAGCTTACATGAAAGTGTTTCTCCTCTGGCTGGCCCTTTAAATACACCTAGTCTCGTTTCGTTGGTGCAAATTCTGTATCAAAAGAGCAAAGAGCCTCCTTCGGTTGTTGGAGAATTCCGTTGTTGGATGCGCCACATAAGCTGGGATTGAGCTTCTCCAAGTCCGGGAAGGCCAATGCCAAGGCCAAGCAAATAATTAATAATGGAGATTCAGCAAGCAGCAACCATGGCAAGTCCGGGAAGCCCAATGCCAATGACAATGACAATTGATTGATTCTACATTTGGATTCGTATATATATATATATGTAATCACAAAAAAGAAAGATTACAAACAGATTATGCAACTTTATACGATTTCAATGAAGTCTTGCCCTCAAAGTTGAGTAGAGGATGGAAAGAATGAGGATGCGTTGAGTTGTGGATGTGGTCGGCGCTTGCCCGATCATGGCATGGCGGGGCCTACCTTACATGCTCAATCAAAATCATTATCTTGCCACCCACTCTTTCAACTTTAATTAACCCATCTAAATTGTTCCTTCACCTGTGATTATTAACTTTTTCCTATCTTATACCACGATTATCTCTCTTCAAAATTACTAATTGCCATGAGCAATGAGTGAGTATGGGTTTCACATTCTGCATTATCCAATCCACATCACCCGTGATGATTCAGGACATTAATTAGCCTTACTTTTCCTTCACTAAATCCTCTTTCTTTCACACAACCGCTTTTCAATTTTGCCCTTTCGATTATTCTTTCACACCACACCACCACTCTGTAGTTTGTTCTTATCTTCACCACCAAGGCATCTCAAATTCCTCTTTGCTTTACTCTCTCTCTCTCTCTCTCTATCTCTCAAACTCAAATCTATTTACAATACTTGCGAACTTATCATCACCAAAAGCCCCAATTGTCTCTTCTGTAAACCCAAAAGGCTACAATGGCTAAGTATGTGTCAATGCCTTTTGCTGTTGCTGCTGCTGCTGCTGCTGGGATATATTTCCTTGACAAAAACCACTACCAACCAAAGGTTAGTGCACCTCTGCACTTGTACAAACATCAGCACTCAGAATCTAACTCCCGGATTTCCCTCATTTCTGTTTTATTTTTAACTTTCTAATTAAGCTAAATATTTGCAAATTTCTTAAAGCAGGAACTCGGAGGTGGGATTGGAGAAACCATCCAACATGTCGTACCAAAACCGAAGGTGGAGCTGAACACCACCACTCAGATGCTAAAGTTGGCACCCCAATTTGACGGGTTGGACTCCTTTGAAACCTTGGTGGCTCGTTAGCTCCCCTTACCCCTGCAGCTAAGCAGCATAAGAAGATATGTCCTTACATCTTCCACCTGTACATATTTCATGAAATATGATCATCTCCTCCTCCAATGTAGTTTTCCTGCATCATTAAAAGAAAACGAAACTAAGAGCAGGCAACCTAATTTTCCTTCTGCTATGATATGACGGTATTATATTCAGTGAAGTTACAATTTCACACACCAACACCAGTTCCAAACGAGGGATCATCATTTGAACAAGGAAGCCAGCTATTATACTAAGCATTGAAAACTCTGACTCTGAATTGGACACCTAAAGCATCTGTTACATCCATTATATACAGCAACAAATGTCTCCATTTACTGGATACAAACTCAAACTCCGGGGTAACGTTCACATCCTTTATTCAAACAGAAAAAAGAAAAAGAAAAGCAACTTTCATGTTTCTCATAAGAGTAGAGTGGAATGAGGGTTTTTTTATTTATCACAGTGCGCTCTTCCTCTCCCGTTGAAGAATGGATATAAAAGGAATTATTCAGAATGTGAATTACCAAATACTAATCAACGTTTTTGGATGAGATCCAATCACTTTCTTTACAATTTCTTTCCTACCTTTGCAAACCTTCTGGTTACCCCAAATACCAATGTCTTCATCAAGAGCCCTCGATTAAGAATGCAAGCAAGGATTATGGTCCCACCAAATATTAGGAGCTTCGGTATGTGCCTACGCGTAGCTTTGCCAGATACAGTCACCACCTCAGTCTGTGATGAATCCTCGGTGTCTCCTGAGGCTTTCAGGTACTCCGGATGTATTTTGGTGTTGATCTGAGCCATGAAGGCTGACCGAGAAAGTGGCAGTCCTAAAGCTCTTTCTGTTTGGTAGGCATGTAAGCCAGCCTCGATCTTCTTGACGGTCCCCCACATTGCTTTTCGTATTCCAAGTTTTGCAATATCCCATGGAATACCCGTATCTTCATAATGAAAGAGTAGAATCTCGCATGCCGTCAGCTGGCCGTTGGCTCTTCTTGATTCCACTGGTTATGTACAAATAAGGTCACTTAGTAACAGGACAGCTTGACCAACTCTAGTGAGCCTAAGATAACCAAACTGAATATAGATATGCCCCTTTTAATGGAACCAGAGAAGAGCGCCATAACTTGACTTACCTGCTTGAATGCACCAACTTGAGTAGTACAAGTCAACGCGTCTTCGCTTGTCATTCCTTGGAATAGAGGCATAGGGTACTCCCTATAACAAGAGAGACAATTCATCAAACAAAAGCAGAAAAACCTGCTGCTAGGAAATCATCAGAGGAAGTGAGTCAAGAAGGCACATGTATGCCAGACATAAATTCCACTACTCGTACCTTTGTCACGCAATAATACAACCTTCCAGATTCCCAAATTCGACGACCTATTATGTATTCTCTGTCTTTACAGAACAACGGGAACTGCAAAATGAAAGCATTGCAGAGGTAAGATAGAATACGCAAGGGAGAAGTACTAGTAAAAGTGAAACAAACATCAATCAGTTAGAAGAATATACAAAAGGGAAGTCTTGCCTTCCGTATCCACTGTACCACCATGGTTCCCGTGGTAGGGCACTCTTCTATCGTTGTCGAATGCCTAAGCATGTCATCCCACCTTAATCGAAACTCATCATCCCAGAAAAAGTCCCTTACTATCTCAGGTGTTGCATCCTCATAGACAGTTCTGCTACGATATTGAGGAGGACCAATCTAACAAACACCCAACAGGAAGAAAAGAAAACAATGAAACAGATGTATAATGAGTTACTACCCACATAATCTGATACAGCGAGAGGAGAAGGCCTCATATAACAGCTAAAGCTACATTTGATAAAACCCACATCACTGGTTTAAAGCCGTTAAGAATGCGCTTTGGCATAACAGTGCCGCTTGGCTAAACTCAAGCAACTTGGTGTTGGAGATGAGAAACAACTCTCTAGAAGCAAGTAACTGACTGAACGTCTTGCCCTCCGCAGATTCTGGTTTAGGTGAAATTATTGGCCAGAGAAAGCAACTAATAAGGAAAGACCTTACCTCGGGATCCCTACACCAGCCTTGGTAGTTCATAGTTGGAGTGGAACGTTCCATCATCTGTATCCAAGTAGGACCTCCATCTTTCATATCTACTAGCGTGCATAAAAGGTCTAAGTCCTCCTCTGTCACTACATTAGACTTCTCTTCATTGAGCTGCGATGTGCTAGACAAGTACAACAAACTAGTCAGAAATTTGAACATAAAAATCTATCCAATTTAGGCTCTTCCTTCAGCATAATTTTGTATTTAAACGCACTAGACATCCTAATAATGTTGAGGTAATCTTTTAAATTATAACAAAACAAAGGAGAAAGTGAATTTAATCAGTCAATATTATAATCCTACAAAATAAAAGTTGACAAACATTTAACAAACAATCAAATTTTTATAATTGCATTGTGACAAAAGTCGCATGACAAATACCAAGTACCTGCCCTCATCAAATTCGGAAGGTGAAGCAGAAGTTGTTCTCTCAAATCCCCTATCCATGAACAAGGCTTCACAACCTTGGGAAGCCAAGTCAAACGAATTCAAGCACGGAGCCGATGAAAAGCCTTTTAATGGGGACATTAACGACCGGGACGGCGAAGAAGGCAACGAAAAATCGAAGCCTTTAGAAACAGAGCAGCCGAATTTGTCCTTGCCGTTCCCAAAAGGTGCCCACTTGGGTTTCCACGACCATCCGATCACAACACCAACGAGTAAGACCATCCATATAGGACATAGAAACACCATCAAACCTGTGTACTCCATTGTATTTGCTGGTCTTTCCAATAATTCAGGCAAAGCCTCAATCAAAGCCATACCAAAGAAAAAAGAAAATTACAACGAAAGCAGCATACTTTTTCAAAATTTTGGTAATTGGGTTCTAGACGATGATCAATGTCAACTTCAACAAATGCAAATATAAATAGTCAAGCAGAAGGAAAAGCTTGACCCTTGAGGATATGGAAGAAAATTATAAAACCCAGAAGGGAAATATCAGAAGGGATGCTTATTGACGTGGGGGACATGAGAGGCGGGAAGAAGGAGTTGGTTCGGGATTCATGTGACGGTGTCGTTTCAATGGCTTACACTGAGAATTGGTGGAGGAAAATGAGGAGAGCCTTACGACGGCAAGTAAACAAAAGAACGTGAGAAAGGAATCAGAAGAAGCAAAAATAGAAGATTGGCGGACTACAAAGATGGGTACTTTGATACGTCCATAGATTTAGCAGAAGAGAAGACAAAACGACAAAACTCCTAAATCGTACGTTTGTCGTTCTACGTTCGAATTTCCAAGTACATGCCTGCCAGCGGCTGAGATTTCTTGTTTTTCACGTTGGCTAGAACCTTTGAAGTCCTCCTTTTTTGTATTTGTGCAGCACTTGGGCTGGGCAATCTGTATTTTGTTGTCATGTTCTGTGGGGCGGCTACAGAGCATCATCTTGTTTGACCAACATTGGGGGCAAGTCTTCTTCTTCTTGTTCCAAAATATGGTGTGAGGTTGTGAACCGTAAACTGAAGGGATCTTTGTTTTTCTCTGAGAAAACTTAGGGGCTTTGTATATGCTCATTAGGTCCAGTCCAGCCCATTTTAAAGAGCTTGAATTTTGCCGAGTTTGGGTCTGTTTTTCTGAGGTGGACCATTAAGCTCTGGTTTGAGGAACAAATTCCGGAGGTCACCTCTGTCTCTCAGCAGCTGCAGCGCTTGAAAATAACTCCGAACATATAGTTACCATATCTACACAGAGAATCCAACCAACTGAGACCAAATCCAGTAACAGTCTCTTTACTGAAAATTGAATCTTTTGGCCAATTTGTACTGAAAAATAAACCTCACGTGTTTCATGCTTCATAGTAAAAGTAAAAGCAACTTCACACCTACTGCCTGCCACGTAACCCACAACCCAGAACAGACTGCGCACCTTTCAATTTTCAAGCTCTTGAGACACAAACAAAAAATTTCAAGCTTTGAACCGAAAACCTAATTTCTGCTCGTCTCCGACAGCAATTTTCGACAGTAGAAGCCCCCCCATCAAGCTCTGTCCAGTCGGCTAATCAGATCCGTCCACCTCAGCAATGCTCTGTTCGGTACCTGCCAGCAAGTCCGGTTCGAACTGGCTGGACCGGCTCCGGTCAAACAAGGGCCTTCCGACCGGCGACAATCTTGACCTTGACCATTTCCTTAGCCGAAACACAAACTCTTCCTCGGAATTCCAAACTCCCAATGTCTCATCGTCCACAGAGTCGTCTCGGCCGGGTTCTGACCGAGTGGTGAATCAGTCCACATCCTCGTGCCCGAACCGAGATAACCAGGGAGAGGCATTCATCGGCCTGATGAACACCGTTCTGTCGGAGCTATTTTTCATGGGCGGCTCCGACGAACGTTCCAAACTTTTAGGGAAAAAGATTCCTAGAAAACAAGCAAACCCCAGAGTTTGTGTCGCTTCCACGACCAACGCTGACAGCAATGCTGCTACTGCAAACGCCACCGAAGAGAAGAGCTCCGACTGGGGTCGAAATGACGAAAATGTCCTCGACAAAGCAGCGTGCTTGGACTCGCAAAACGGCAGCTTGATGAAGAATAAGGACTTGGGAAATGTTGGTGGTGAGGAAGGTGAGGAGGTGGAAGAGGAGGAAGAGGAAGAGAAGGAGGAGTTGAGAGAGCTGAAAGGGTATTCGATCAGCGAAGTGACGGTGATCGATACGAGTTGTGGGGTTTGGAAGACGGAGAAGGTAGTGTTTAGAAGGAAGAATGTGTGGAAAGTAAGGGAGAAGAAGGCCAAAGTGAGGAAGTTCGGGAGACGTAAGAGAAAAGTGGTTGATGAGGAAGTTGGTGTTGAAGGCGGTGATGACATTGACAAGAAGAAGGCTAAGGTTGCAGCTTTGAAGGAAGCTGATGGGGATGAATGTATAGCTCTCAAGTCCACTGAAGTAAGATTAAGATTCTGTCTTAATAATTTGTTTGATTTCTTGCTTGATTGTGCTTGTGAGTTTTTATTATGAGTATGTTTTCATTGTTTGTGTGGTGATCTTGAATTACCAATTCTGTTTTTTCCTTTTTTGTTTTCTCATTATCACATGCTTTAATTTGTTTGGTATTGCAATGAAATTGTTGGTAAAGATATAGTATGCCAACTTCATGTAAGTGGTTGGTGTCTGAAAGGGTTTTTAGATCTCAATCATGTAAGTGGTTGTGGATGGCGCAGGCATTTTGGTAGCGCAACTCAGAAGGCTTAATGCTGATTTTGTTACATTATACTTGCTATTGACTAAAATGATGCACCTTGGTGTCAAGATCTTTGTTGGCACTTTCAAATGCTACATGTGATGTCATCTCTAGTGTGATAATTCCCATACAGTTTGTGATTTCATGTGTTTTGATTTTCATGTTTGTTTTGAGTAAAGGATTTAATATGATCATTGCCTCCACTGCATTCGCATATACTGGATTATCTGCTCACAGTATATCTTCTTTGGGTTCAGAATTCACAGAGTTGTATAAATCTAGTTCATCTTCCGTTCATGGTTGTTTCCTTTTCCTACTTTAGGCATTTTTGTATTCATTTTGTGAAATTTTGATCACTCGTTTCTTTGTTACCAATTGTAATTGGGAGTTCTATTCAGTTCATCTCCGTCCTCTTTGTTATTAGGGTAGCAGTCGAACTAATCCCTAATGATGAAGAACTTATTTAGCTGATTTAAATCTATGTAAGGGAGATTACTGCTAAGTTCTGCTGAGAGCATGCATGTCTCTTTGTTTCTCAGCCTTTAAATTCTGAGGCTATTGCGGCCTCCAACTTGTGCCACCTTGTGGTTCTGGATTTCTTGTTGCAAGTTTTAGTTTAGCATCTGACTCTTGCATAACATAATGAAGTAATGAATCGCAGCATGATGTCTAACTGTCCAAAGGGACTTCTGCTATTAATTACTTTGAAACTGTAGCATTTCATTTGATGTCATAATCGTAGAGTTTCTGTACATGTTTATATGAAACTGAGAAAGGTGTGTTTGTTGCCTTGCTTCATTGCCCAGGGACAGAATTCACAGAATGACACAAGCAAAGAAGTCTGCGAGGACACACCAGATAGTCTTAATGAAAGAAGGGAGGAATTTGGCAAAGACATGCCAGGTGCTAAAAGCAAAGATGCCAAGAAAGGGCAAGTGCACTTGCAAGTTCTATCTGATTTCAATATTCTGCTGCTGCTTGTATGTAATAACGATTTATTCTGCTCTTATCGAATGTCTTGCAGGTTTCCTTTGAGCAGATCACCAAGAAAAATGAAAAAGGGTGACTCCTCTGTTATACTTATTAAAGGCATTCCTACCGACAATAAAAATGGAGGAAAGCTTCTGAGAACGTGTCTCAAGGACATCCAAAAGCAATACACGGCTTGATTGATCAGTCACCATAAAAATGTTTCACTGGAAAGAGGCAGCTTAATCAATGGCGTCAGCGGTCTTTCTTTCAGTGTTTGGATTTCATTGGCCCTTTGATCTCCTTCCAGAAAGGAGTATATGTGTTTTGGTCTCGCTTAGGACTTGGAGATGGTGGTGATCATGCTGCCTTGTCCTTGGGAATCAAAATGTTGTGAAATAGTGAATTTGTTCTATCATTTGTAATGCATGATAAAAAAGTGTTTGCTCCGAAGGATTGTTCTGTTGTTCCGGTTCCTGCAAACCTGTTGATAGAAAATTCAATTCAATCTAGGGAATCATTTTAACGAAAGATATCGGTATATTCTGCAAAAACAAGAATGGGGTTTTGAAGGATATGTCTTGCAACTTGCAAGAAGCGTTGTGTCGCTGCCTAGAATTACCTCAAAGCTAAGCTGGAACTTCAAATTTGCACGATTTCGTTCAAATTGTTATTTGCAGGCCCATCGGGCCCATAAATTAAACATTCTAGAAATCCGTCAAGAAATAGCCCATTTAGGTATGGCCCGGATAGACATTGTCTTTAAATTGTCTCACCCCAACTAATTTCCGATGACAAACGTTAACCGTTGGTTAAGACTGTAAATAAAAAGCTCCATTTGAGCCGAGAGAAACCATTTTTATCACGAACATGGTTGCTGTGTACGCTTTGTTCACGCACGCTTTTCCCTCTTCTTCTTCTGATTCTCTCTTTTCATTCCCACCATCTCCTCAGCCTACTGCTTATTTCGCACCACCTTCACTTTCAACCTTCCGTAACCATGAATGGTTTTCTCTGTTAAAGTTCACTAGAACCCCGAGGGCTGAACCAAAACCATCGTTAACCCAAGTGGGTCTGCGACCCAATCAACGGATTCTTATCCAATGCCGTTACATCAACTCCGCCACCAATGCTCTCGCCGAAATAGGTAAGCAACTCTCAGAGACCTATTCTCAAACACATTGCCACAAACAAAACACAACGTGATTTTTTTTGTTGTATCTTGTTTCCAGGGATGCTCTTCTCATTCTTTCAAGAAATTGGGATCGACGGGGAAGAAGCCCAAGTGGTTTTGGACAAGAACCCAGAACTCACGTCGACGTCTTTGGATTTACTACGTACTCGGATTCTTTCCTTCCGCTCTGTTGGAGTTGATGGCCTTGAGCTTTCTCGCTTGATTACCAAATGTCCAAGTCTATTAACAGCTGACGAAATTGATGCTTTCCTACATTTTGTGCGCCATGATTTTGAAGGAAAGATTGAGCCGCCGCAGCTGAAGCGCCTTTTCGGTACAACTGAAGCAAGATTCTTGGTGGGTTTTGATCAAAAAGTCAGATTGCTTCTTCATCGAGGAGTTCCCCGTGAGAAGATTTTTGATGTTCTGAACAAACTTAATTTGTACAAGGCTTTGTGCCTCAAGTCAGTTGAAGAAATTGAAAGGACCATCGCATTCTTGAGCCGCTTTGGTGGAATCGACTTGATTGTGAGGCGTCCCACACTTCTCAATTATGATCTGGACACCCAGCTGGTTCCAAGAGTTGGGTTTCTCACAGAGCTTAGCGGCGGAGATGAGGATGCCACAGGGACTTTGTTGGGTAAGCTCCCTGCAATTTTGAGTTACACCGTGGATCACACGAAAGGCCATGTAGAGCTATTGAGGTCGTTGGCCGGCCTAACTGATGAGCAAATATTCAAGTTTTTGCTTGTTTTCCCCAATGTGGTGAGCGCCAGCAGGGAGAGGAAATTGCGTCCTAGAATTCAT